AGGCGGGTCTCGAACCCGTGGGTTCAGGCAATCTACTCACCTCAGCCTCCCAAAGGCGCGAGATTACAGGCTGAGCCACCGAGCCCGGCTCCAAGTTGCTTCTTTACTTCTCAAGGCTAGGTACCTGGAATTTCCCTTGAAGGAACTCAAGATTTTCTTTTCTTTCAACGTTGGAAGGCCTGCAGGCCCCTAAGTGGGGCTCCCTACTCCATCTCACTCAGGGCTTGCCAGAGAAAAACAAAGAAATGCTGTGGCAGATAGAATTTCAGGTTGGCCTTGAAGATGGAACAGAAATATGAATGTAAAACAGCCTCCCTGAGCAATACTGGACTAAAACATCTATGAAGGCAGAGTTATTATTACATAAAGTAGTGAAATAGTTAGGGTTACAAAGGAGAAAAATGGCACAAAAGGGCATGGTGGCTCAATGCCTATAATCCCAGCACTCTGGGAGGCCTAGGCGAGAACACTGCTTGAGCCCCGGAGTTTGAGACCAGCTTGGGCAATGAAGCAAAACGTCATCTCTACAAAAATAAAAAAAAAATTAGCTGGGTATGGTGGTTCACACCTGTAATCCCAGCTACTCAGGAGGCTGAGGCAGAACAACCGCTTGAGCGCAGGAGGTCAAGGCTACAGGGAGCTCTGATCATGCTGCTGCATTCCAGCCTGGGCAACAGTAAGACTCCGACTCAAAAAAAAAAAATTAAATTTATAAATTAAAAAAAAAGGAGCAGAAACCAGAAAAGGACAATTTATTAAAAAGTGAAGAACAGCTGGGAGAAACTCCACTAAAGCCAGAATATACAAAGGGACAGCAGGAAAGCGTGCCAGAAAGGGAACAAGCGAGCCTGCTTTTAGCAGCCCTGGGATGCCTCTGCATAGAGACATTGAGTACCACTGCATGTAAGTAGAATTTTATCATCTAATGCTGGAGGGAAAAACTGGCCTCAACTTACTGAGAGATGGAGCTGCACTGAGGAACACCTTCTAAGCTGAGAAATAGAGAATAATGAAGAGTTAGTCTAATATGAGCAAAAGGGACATAGTCAAGTTTTCAGTTTAAAAAAGGCAAGCATTTGAGAGTCCAGTGGATACTGTTATCTTCCTTGTGCTGGTCTGCTTTGTCTAGCCATCAGGGGAAAAAGAGTAAAGCTGAACCTTTTTGCCTTTCACAATTTTGTTTCATAACTGAAAGACTTACACCAAATACTTATACCAAATACTTACACCTCATTGTATTTTCACAGAATAATATGACTCCAAAGGTTTTCATCTTCATTTATTACAAAGAAACACGAATTTAAAGCAGTCCCCTAAGCCACACTGGACCAAACGTATGTGAAGGCAGAAGTTATTAGTACCTCAAGTAGGGAGGTGACACCCTGAGCAGATGAGGTATCTGAGAGACATCACAACTTCTGAAGTTCCAGACTTCACCATGGACAGGTTACCCAACAGACAGCAGGAAGCAGTTAATCCTGACCACTAAGGAGTAGGCTCACCAAAATGCTCTTTGGGGCAGCCAGACTCTTGCGGTGTGCCTTCAGAAGAAGAAAGGCCTATTTGGTGTGCAACAATCAGGAAGGAGAACTGTGAGTTGAGGCTAGTCAACCCTTTCAACATTCTGGATCCAAATTCAGAGACAGCAAGATGAAATAAACAGGTCCACAGGCCTATAAAAGGCAAGAACTATGGCCAAAGGGTAAGAGAAATCTCCAGGAAACCAAATGCATTCACGGAAAGTTTTCTCGTCTAGCAGCTAACTCATAAGAAGGTCCAATAAGGCTAGGCCCCTATCTATCTCATCTACCCATTCCCATGGAGAACCTGGGAGGACGAGTTGGGATTAAAGTTACAATGAGGCCAGGACCAAGCCTTTTAAAACCAGAGCTGACAGAACAGATCTGGGAAGCTGCACGAGGTGAGGACTGTCACGGTGAAATTTAGAAAAAAAAGAATCCCAGAGGAAAATGGAAAGCACCCAAAGTCAAATCCCACAAGGCAGGCATCTACTAAAAAGATCACTGTCCATTTTATCTATTTTATATTACACGCATCTTTTGCCTGAAACAACGTGAAGCACAAGTTATCTCCCACACGCTAATAATTCCCAAAGTTTTCCAGTAAGCTTTTATTCTGTAATAAAAGCACTTTTTAAAAGAAGGAGTAAGCACATTTCACTTTTTAAAAAAATGCTTACAAGAATAAAGTCTATTTACCCATGAGCTAGCTTTTAGATTTCTAAAGCAACATCCAAGGCCCAGGGCTAAATATATAAGAAATAAATGTTCTTCAAAATACCTACATTTTAAAACCCTGTATTTGGTTAGATATGTTTTTGGAGCTTATCTTAAATTGACAGATAAAATTGTACATGTTTATCACATACAACATGTTTTGGAATATACATAATTGTGAAACAGAGAAATCTAGGTAATTAAAATATGTGTTACCTCACACAGTTATCATATTTGTGTTGATAACATTTACCATCTACTCCCAGCATTTTTCAGGAATACAATATAGCATCATTAACTACAGTCACCATGACAGATTATTTTAAGAGGTATTGTAGGCACTATATAAAAAGCCCTACATCTGAAACAAAATTTCATTTGCACCATCAGTATTAATACTATATTGCATTTGTGCAGCTCTTC